TATTTTTTTCCTGATTTGTAGGAATCTGTAAAACGTGTTTCACAACTTGTCTATTTTTTACGTCGCATTCAAGATGGCGGCCCCCATATAGTAAATATTGCATTTATTATTTTGTTGCTTGTGCGCCAGCTGAATGTGGGAATATCTACAAAACTGTTGCATATGAAAACAATGGAGACAGTTCCAAATCTGCCTTGATCAGCTCGATATAATATAAATTTTCACTTGGAATTTATTTTTGCCAAAGGAAATCTATTTAGAATAAAATCCAGCAAAAATACCTTTTTCCTATATTTCACATCAAAGTCATCAAAAATCAGCAAAAATACCTTTTTCCTAGATTTCACATCAAAGTCATCAAAAATCCGCAAAAATAAACTTCATAGAAAACAGCCAAAATGTTTTTTCAGTAAAATTAATTACAGCTAAAATAAAGTATTCATAATTATTTACAATATCTCAATCTTTTTGCTATACCTAATATTGTAGAGAGAAACATTCACTGTCTACAATTTGGCTGATTTGGTGTTTTAGAGACAATTACTTGGTTTTAAATTCACTGGTTTGTGAAGAAAACACTATTCGCTCTGTCTTTTAATCATTTTTTAGTGTATTTAACTACCAGTGGAATAAGCGGGAAATAAAATCCATCAAGGAATTGAGCCCACTACAGTATTTTAGATACTGCTGGTCTTTGCACAGTTCTTAAAATACAATAAAGTTGACATTTTCTGGAAAATTTTGAGTTTATTATTAAGCAAGTCATCAAGCCGGAACTGTTATTATTGTTAGAAATTCCTTACCACAAAGTCCTTTAAATTTCATAATATTGCAGTAATACTTTGCATTTTTCTTAAATTCATTTTTTGCACCAAATGAAAACTACCATTATTTATTTGATACAAATTGCATAAAGTAATGTGAGTTAATTTGGTAAACCGTGACCTAGGTTTTACTTTATGCATCATGGAGTTTAAAGAACTAACACAGTGCATAACCCAATTTTATATATATATTTTTTTTTATTTATTTCAGTCTTGGGCTTGCCGGATTGGATCTTGGTGTATCCTTGTTTTGTTTAAATGTTCCAGTACATGTACACACACTATTGGTGAAAAGTACCAGACTAGAGCACAACATTTGATATTTTCTCACAGCTCCGGCGAAACTTGTCATTATTGTCACCAATATTGGTGAGAATTTTCATATTCTCTGTTAGATGGTGAACCAATTTCTTGTTTCATTAGATGGATTATAAATTTTCACCAATTTGTTGACACGATTTAATATACTCACTTTTTTATGGTAAAAGTCCAAACAATTTAGTTGTGAGACTTTAAATTCTTTGCTTTTGTTGAACAAATTCATTGAACGATGACAATGTAAAAATTCTGATATCAGTGAAAAAAGATGACTTTGTTGCTATGGCAACTCCGAATTCTGATACTTATCACTTACAGTTATGCAACTCTTTTGGCAGCCACTTTTTTTAAATCATAACTAGAGAAAATTGAAAAAATTATGTGGTGACATGTTTTTTTTTTTGTATTAAGGTTTAATTGAATCAACAATACATCCTTGAAAACAAAAAAAATTCCCCATTTTGCAGTTTATGGTGAACTTTAACTTTATACAAAATTTGTGACGCATGGGTTTTTCAAACTGACAGTGAGATGTACTCGCAAGATGTTTTTCCTTAATTGAGATTTTGACAGATTATGTTGCTGAGTTGTTGGAATAAAAAAGGTGACAATAAAAATAACATCAGTAATGTGATGGCACTGTTAGAAGAGGACGAGGATGTGGAGCCTGGTTCAAATATTGATGAAGACAACCATGAATTAGTCACGGTCAAACCCATCAACACTAAGTACATGAAAGAAATCCGGAAAAATGGTAAAAATTTTGAGGAATTGGAAATGCTGCAGAAGAAGCCGAAAGAAAAAAAGGTGAGATTATTGTACTATTTGCATAGAGAGCGAGTAGCATGGACTCATGGAGGGGGATGAAACAGAAAGTAAATAACATGTACACAGAGTTGCTGAATATCAACTGAACTACTCGTTCAGCTTTATTCACATACTCATAAAGGGTGTGTGTTTACGTAAGAGCTATGTTATGTTATTGATATTCAAATGTGATCGCTAGTTGAGTCACTGAGGGATTACCCAGAAATTCTCTGGTAAGGTTGTATTGATTCTTGCAGTTGCTATGGTGGTCACAAGTTAAAATGTTACCAAAATCAGACCCAGAAAATAGTCTTCTCATAGATTCATCATTTGTAAAATTCTCAAATTTTGGGGGTTAAAATCTTTCTCTAAAAAAACGAGTGACTGTGAGCGTGTTTTCATTTTGCCATAAATCAATATTGTCCATCATTTAATTGAAATCAGATGTAGTTTGTTGCTCTGGGCGCTTTGAATGTACGGCCGTCTGTGTACAGCTACTTTGAATGTATGGCCGTCTGTGTACAACTACTATGAATGTACGATCATCTGTGTACAACTACTTTGAATGTATGGCCGTCTGTGTACAACTACTATGAATGTATGATCGTCTGTGTACAGCTACTTTGAATGTACGGCCGTCTGTGTACAGCTACTTTGAATGTACGGCCGTCTGTGTACATCTATTTTGAATGTATGGCCATCTGTGTACAGCTACTTTGAATGTACGGCTGTTTGTGTAGAGCTACTTTGAATGTACGGCCGTCTGTGTACAGCTACTTTGAATGTACGGCCGTCTGTGTACAGCTACTTTGAATGTACGGCCGTCTTTATACAGCTACTTTGAATGTACGGCCGTCTGTGTATATCTACTTTGAATGTACGGCCGTCTGTGTATATCTACTTTGAATGTAGGGCCGTCTGTGTACAGCTACTTTGAATGTATAGCCGTCTGTGTACAACTACTATGAATGTGCGATCGTCTGTGTACAACTACTTTGAATGTACGGTCGTCTGTGTACAGCTACTTTGAATGTACGGCCGTCTGTGTACAGCTACTGTGAATGTACAGCCTTCTGTGTACAGCTACTTTGAATGTACGGCCATCTGTGTACAGCTACTATGAACGTACGATCATCTGTGTACAGCTACTTTGAATGCACGGCCATCTGTGTACAGCTACTTTGAATGTACAGTCGTCTGTGTACAGCTACTTTGAATGTACGATCGTCTGTGTACAGCTACTTTGAATGTACGGCCATCTGTGTACAGCTACTTTGAATGTACGGCCGTCTGTGTACAGCTACTTTGAATGTACGGCCGTCAGTGTACAGCTACTGTGAATGTACAGCCTTCTGTGTACAGCTACTTTGAATGTACGGCCATCTGTGTACAGCTACTTTGAATGCACGGCCATCTGTGTACAGCTACTTTGAATGTACAGTCGTCTGTGTACAGCTACTTTGAATGTACGATCGTCTGTGTACAGCTACTTTGAATGTACGGCCGTCTGTGTACAGCTACTTTGAATGTACGGCCGTCTGTGTACAGCTACTT